AGTGAGTTGAAGACGTCTCCCATTTTAACATCAATACCACCTGGGGGAAACCCATGTCCCTTCTGCTCAGAAACTTGATCTGCTTACATCCAAGGCTTAATGGCAAGTACCTTAACCCTTTAACCTCTCTCTGATCTCTCTTTGCTGTGCTGTTATTCTCTGTATATTTACATATATATCTTAGTTACATCTTTTTTCTGTAAATATTTTTATTTCACCCATTTGACCTTTTAGTAATAAATCTTTCTTTCTGAAAGTGTTGAACTGTTTCTATAGCTCTGTATTGCAACTCACGAATTCCTGCCTCTAAAGAGACGCTACTGTTTGTTTAACCCTCTGTATAACTGGCCTGCGGACTGTTTTATACAGATGATTATTTCAATCATTATAGTATTATAACTGATAACGCGAGTTTCCTCTTTCTCTGTACAAAAAGGAGGTGGTGGCAGTGTGGAGGGTTAGTTGCGTAATTAACCCGACCCAGTAACGATCGCCCAGGCTGCTGGTACATCGATTGTGGTCCGTTAGCTGGAAAATCATTGTGCAGGGTGCAGCTGGGCATGGCATTGTTACGCACGTCACATCGCCGTTTTAGATTGGCTAGTCCTTCGGTCACGAGTTTGGTGAGAAGGTCTGGGGTCTGACGCTGCGATCGTGACATATTAGATGTCGCGATCGTGGGATTGTCGCATGGTGGCAGCAATCTTGCGATCGTGACACCCCATAGTGTGTTCGAATTGAGTTCCTATCGTGACAATAGGTGTTTGATTGTTTTCAGATCATGAGACATACTTGGCCACTGAATCACTTTCACCCTGTTCTTAAGAAATGCAACAGTGGCCTTAGATGTGTGTTTTTGGTCTTTGCCATGTTGGAAAAGTGCACGACGACCAAGGGAACAGAGTGATTGTAGCATCTTCTCTTTCAGTACAGAGCAGTACATCTGTGAATTCATGATACCATCAATGAAATGCAGCTCCCCGACACCAGCAGCTCTAATGCGGCCACACAGATGGACATTGCTCCCATTTGTGGGAGTATTCTGTAGTATAGTGTCCCATAGAAAAGGTGGATTCTGAAAGGAAAGTAAAGGTTTTCTGACAAGTCTGTTGGGGTGTTCTCATTTATGCTGAGCACTGCATAATAATTGATTTGTGTAAAAGTTATAGCATCTACAAACAATGGTATATACTGGATTTTTATTTATTTATTTTTTATACTTGTAATGACAGTGATCAGCGACTTATAGTGGGGCTGTGATAGTGCAGCGGGCAATCTGACACAAACTAACACGAGTGGAGCTAAGGCCTCTTTCACATGGATTTTCCAATTGGGTCCGACTGCCCGTTTTGCAGGCAGATCTGATCGGAATCTCCATTCTCCTCTATGGAGCTGTGATGTAAATGGACATGTATCCGTTTACACCCGCCGGCATCCAGTCTGATCTGATCCACAAAAAAGGGACTGATGGGGATCCAATTCCCCTTCCGCCCGTCCATCGGATCTGGTCGGATGGAAATGAATAGGCCATTCGTTTTCATCTGACCGCCCATTGAGGAGAGCGAGCTGCTCTGTGTCCGGAGACACAGAACTTTCATCCGCTTGCTCAAAGGGGATCAGCGGAGAGATCCCACTGAGCAATCCATCCTCTAAATGGGTCCGCCCTGTGTGAAAGGACTCTAACTGCCACTGACATCACCAGTGACACTAATACAATGATCAGTCCTAATAATATACACTGTCGTTGTACTAATGACACTGGCTGGGAAAGGGTTAACATCTAGGGGCAATTAAAGGGTTACAAACAAAGAAAGGTGCATAATATATGCTTCTTTTACAAAGTGATGTGACTGTTTTACCTCCCTGCTGTGCAGGAAGGAAAAAATGGCACATCACTGCTGTCTGAAGAGAGCCCTGTGTTGTTTACCAACACAGAGCTCTCTTCTGTCTTTTGCTCAGCCGACCAGCAGGTCTCGGCTATAAATCATTGGCCAGGATCCACTGATCAGTGAGTGCTGCAGCAAATGACAGATGGGGTTTCCGGGTGTGTGCTGACCTGGAAGAAAGCCCCGGTGTACAGGTACATTATGGTACCCGTAGGAGCCGCTGCACGGCAGTATATGCCCTGTGACGGGTCGGCCATTATAGTCCTTTTAGGTCACATGACTCCACCGCTCCTTCCCTGGCATTCCCCAAGGTGCAGGGGCGCCATCCTGTGGTGAGGCACGATACACTCCTCTCCTCACATGCCAACTTTTTCCTGAAAGACCCCAGAGAGACTCAGCTCAAACCTGAACAGGCAGAGCCTTCCCAGAGGAAATGACCCAAATCAGGGAGTGGTCCGAGAATTAAAGGGGAACAAACCTTCTACCTGCCTACAAGCAGACTCAGTAGACTGAAAGCTGTCATTCTGTAGCATTCCCCTTTGCTCCTCCTCTGGCTGCTGAATAAAAGGGTATGAAGGAAGGTGAGGGACAGAGGAGCTGGGCCATCACAGACATTAATTAGACACTTCCAGAAGAGGAGAGAAAGGAGGGTGCTGTGCCTATGTCTCCTGGAAACAATTTCTAGGAAGTTCAGAGGCACTGCAAGTGAATAAACAAAAACTGAAAGAAGAAACACTGTAAACATTTCTAATACTTGACTTTTTGTGCTTTTATCTGCAATTTGTAGTTGGTGACTTTAGGAAGTCTTCCATGAGGAGTTGGATGATGGAGGCTCTGTGTAGATGTCAGGTCTGGGGGTGGAATAGAAGATGTCTGTGTGTTCCAGGAATAGTACACAGGCGGCTCTCCATTGTATGTGTGATAATGAGGTAAAAGGCCAATCACAGCAGCCTTTTACCACGTGATCAGCAGCGTCCAATGACAAAGCAGATCACCTAGTAAATACAGTTTCCGGTTTTTTGACAACATTTTCCTCACGCTGTCACAGTGTGAGGAAAATGCTGCCGATAACTGGCAGCTGCCACAGAGCAGAGGGGCATTGATGATCAGTGCCCTACAGTGGTGCCCAGTGGTGCCACCCATCAGTGTTGCCATCAGTGCCACATATCAGTGCCCATCAGCGCAGCATATCAGTGCAGCATCAGTGCCACCTCATCAGTGCAGCCTAGCAGTGCTGCCTATCTGTCCACCTCATCAGTTGCCTATCAGTGCTGCCTCATCAATGCACATCAGTGAGGGAGAAAAATTACCTGTTTGCTGCATTTTATAATAGAAACAAAGAAAAACTTTTTTTTTTCAAATTTTTTGCTCTTTTTTTGTTTATAGTGCAAAAAATGAAAACCCCAGAGAGTGATTAAATACCACCAAAAGAAAGCTCTATTTGTGTGAAAAAAAATGATAAAAATGTCATATGGGTACAATGTTGCATGACCGTGCAATTGTCAAAAGTGCAACAGTGCTGAAAGCTGAAAATTGGCCTGTGCAGGGAGGGGGGTGAAGTGCCCGGTAGGTGAGGGGTTAAAAAAAGCACACGTTCGTTATTTATCACCTGGTGTTTGCTGGCGGGATTTTAGAAATGTACTACATAACAATTAAAGGAACTCTGCACTGGACAGAAAGTAAAAAGTATACAATGTATCAGTGTGAAAATTCACCTCTGAGCTCAGGGATGTAAATAAATGGTAACATTTCATCAGAGGAGATGGTTTTTGTGAATGAAAGCACACTACAGTGTTTTCATAGTTTCACAGTGTTGCTGTGTGCCTTCTGGTACAATGTTAGCCTACAAAAAAAAATTGCAAAAATGCCAAAAATATAATGCAAAATCTAGGTGCTAAATATCACAAAAAATAAATATTTAACACCTCTATTCAGTAAATGCGCATAACGCATGCCCATCTTAGTGGGCGTTTTTTCGAAAATTTACTACTTTTCAAAATACACGAAAAACACTGCGATGGGTTATTTTAATTTTCAGAAAAATCGGCCGTTTTTCATCTATGTAGTTTGTGAATTTTACTTTTCAGTTAGGGGTTATTTTAACTCAGGTTCAGAGTTTGTTTTTTTTAAGGGGTTAGGTCAGGGTGAGGATTAGGGAGTTAGGGTGAGGGTTTGAGTTGGGGTTAGTATTTTATTTAATATTTTCTTCTTATTTATGTATTTATTTATTGTTAGAGTGATAATAATAATAATAATAATAATAATAATAAATTAATAAATAAATGTAAAATAAATACACAAGTAAATAAAAATAATCATAAATAAATATGATGTAATAATAAAACAATAATAATTAACCCCTAACCTTAACCCCTAACTATTAAAAAATATATTAAACAAATTATTATTATTAAATCATTATACAAAATAAACACCTAAACTTGAACAAAAAATACATTATTAATAATAAAAAATAAATCAATGTAAAATACGCAAATAAAAATAATTATAAATAAATACTTGTATTAATTATAAATTAATAATAATTAACCCATCACCTTAACCCCCTAAAACCTAAAAAAAAGTAATAAAATAATAACAATCATTTATTATTAATAATAATTTATTTAATATTTTTTAAGGTTAGGGGTTAATTATGAAGTATTTATCATGATTTTTTTTTATTTATATGTGTATTTTTTTTAAATTTATTTGACATTTATTTATTCATATATTATTACTAATTTTTTTTTTTCCATGGAGCAGAAAATCATGCAAAATGTGCATTTCTATTCTTTTTGTGGGAATAAAAATGCACTAAAAACATGCAAATCTGCCCAATTTGAGCTACAAAAGTAGCTTAAAAACTTCAGGTGTTCTGTTTCAGGGAGTGGAGGTGTGAACCATCTCCATAGAGTAATATTGATTTTTTCCCCCTGAGCATTTTGGAGCTTGGGGCCTTAATGTGTGACCCTAGTAGTACTTGTCCCAGATACTGGAAATCACTGGTGTACAATATGTAGAAAATAATGACAAAATATCTTGTTGATGTTATTGAGATGCATTTATTAAAACATTTACACTCACAGATATTTATATTCAGTGATTACAGCACTACAGGTCATAGAATTTAGGAATGTCATCTCCGGTTATCACAATCTGCTTCATTCCATCCTTTGTTACAGTCACTAGATGGATGATCCCTCCGCTGGATCCATCTCGGCTCATCGCCAGCGACAGAGCTGGGAGGAAAGAAGAGCAGCATAGAAACATCATTATAGAAATTATATCCAGGACTGGAGGGAGAATAGGAAGAAAAAAACTGTCAACCAAAGGCACTGAGTTACTGCATTTGAAGCTTAGACTGAGCTGAGGATGCTCCCTGCTCCCATGTGACATTGCTGGGCCAATCACCAAGCACTGGCATTGTCATGCGCTAATACATATTAGAAAGTACTGAGTATTTTTTTTTTTTTTTATTCCTTAAAAGTTTCCAGGTATTTTCTTTGCTTTCAACAGCTGAACAGGATTTCTCTAAGGACAGCCATTGCCATTACAGATCCAGCCAATCTCAGATTCTTCTGACTTCCTTTTTGCCCTGGAAATGTTAGAAGCCTCTGATTGCTGTTCCTAACTTTTTCAATATCTGAGGACTCAGATCCCTACAAGATGGTCCAATTCTGGTTATATGAGGAACGAGTGCTATGTGAAGGAGATTTATATCGTATATAAGGAGCGAGTGATATCTGAAAGAGTTCTCTGATTCTATGAGGAGCCAATTAATTTTAGAAGGATTGTCCCATCAGCTGATATATGTTGCTGCAGATTATTGCTCCCAGACAGGGGCAGGACTGACCATTTGGAAACTCGGGCACTGCCCAAGTGCCCGGGGTCAGTAGGGGGCCCCATGAGATGCCCCTGGTACCTTTTTCATAATTTTTTTTTTTGTTTTGGGCAAGGACACAGGGGCCCCATGATCCCCTATTGCCCGGGGGCCCCATGAGTTGTCAGTCCGCCCCTGCTCCTAGAGCACAGGCATGGTTTATAATCTTACCAGCATGGAGCTCTGGTGAGTGAATTCAATTCATTTGGTGGTGGATTTATCTCATTATATGAGAAGTTTAAGAAGATTTATTGGATCACATACTAATAATTTAAATATATATTTTTAAATTTTTTTTTGCACATATTTTTATGGACTTTTAGTTGGACACTGGTTCACAAATATATTTCTAATAGCATTTTCACTGATTTACATTGATTCTTTTGCTATATGTATTTTTTATAGTTGTATATTATTTGTGTTCACTCAATTATACCATCCAGAGAAATATTTTGAAGAGCTTAGGATATGGATAGCGCCACTAGAAAACACCTAATTAAACAAAAAAAAATATAAATCCTGTGAATAAAAGAGCAGCTAAAACCTCACCCTCAAACAAGGTAAAAAGTGACAAAAAAAAGGTAGCGCTCCAACCACATAATCAATAACAAAAAACCATCATCAAAACATGAAAAGAAAATATATATCAATAAAAAAAAAGTGAAAAAGTGTATCAAAATCCAAACAAGTATGATCTTAATATACAAATAAAATAGAAAAAAGGTAGTGCTCTAACCACATAATAACAAAAAACCATCATCGAAACATGAAAAAAAATTATATATATATAAAAAGTTAAAAAGTGTATCAAAATCCAAACAAATCCAAACAAATGATCTTAATATACAAATAAAATATCAAACTATTTTAACAAACAACTAAAGTGTCCAATTTCATCATGAAAAAAAATATTCTAAAAAAATCAATACAAAACATAAATATTACACTTAAGACCTATAATAGTGTCATTAAGTGTAAAAAAAAAAAAATACATGAAAAAAACTTATAGCATTAATCAAATTCCAATGTGCAACTTGATAGAGAAAAAAAATGTATTATCTTAAACTTCAGTGCTTCAAAATATTTAATTCTTGAAATAAAACCAAAAAACACAGTGAAAAATCCACCACCAGGTGAATTAAATAAACTCACCAGAGCTACATGCTGGTCAAATTATGGCTTTAATTGGTAAAAGGATCTGGGAGAAATCAGCGCACCTTTCAGGGACCTACTTAAGAGCCTGTGTTCACTTCACTAAATAATCAAACATGTGCGAGGGGGAAATAAAAAACACAGGATTTTTGCTAGAACATGAGTGGTTTGTTGGCGTGAAAACATCACCATCTCATTCACTAAGCTCGGTGAACATTCGCTTTGCTAAGCAAGCAGTCTCTATGCCTTACCTCAGCCTTTCTCAACCAGGGTGCCTTGAGGTTTCTTCAGGGGTGCCTTGGCAAAATGTCTAAAAGTTGCCCAAAACTTGTATACAATCCAGCGGGTGGAAAAGCCTACTTTTTAATTACACAAAATCACAAGTTTTCATTGCACACCATTAAGACCTTCTAGCCGCCCATGTCCTGACAACCATTGGTATCATCAGTTGATAAGGAGGATGTCAGCTGCCTGCACAGCATCCTAGTTTGCCCCTCCCCCGCCCCTCTCCGTCAGTGCTGGGGTCACATTGGCTCAGTGATGGGGAAAAACTGAGGGAGAAGAGAAACATTGGAATACTAGTCAGTACCAGTGTGCAAAAGTGTGTTTACTCTGGAAGAATATATCGCCTAAAGTTGGGTGTCCTACGTCTGTGGATGTTGCTGCATTATATAAAACTATTAGAATAGTTTTTCACATTTTAGAATGGGTGCCCTTTTAAAATTATGGATAGTCCCAAGGCACCCTTTAAAATTATGGACAGTCTTGAGGCACCCCATTCTAAAATGGGGTGCCTCAAGACTGTCCTTAATTTTAGAGGGTGCCTCAAGACTGTCCTTAATTTTAGAGGGTGCCTCAAGACTGTCCTTAATTTTAGAGGGTGCCTCGGGACTGTCCATAATCTTAAAGGGTGCCTTGATTAAAAAAAGGTTGAGAAATACTGCCTTATGTAAATCAAGCCCAGCATATGCTACAAAACAGAATGGCAACCAATTTGTGACCAAATCCTCAATGTATTCCCATTGTAAAGGCCCACTAGAGCCCCTTACCATGAACAGTGAACCTCTCACACTCTTCTTTGGTCATTCCAGGCTTGAAAACAGAGTCCACATAACCGTATATATAGGAACTGCCAGATCCTCCGATGGCAAAAGGTTGCCGGGTTATCATCCCACCCAACGTCCCATACACCTGGTCAGAAGAGATGGATAATGTGTACATTTGAGTGATGGCACTTGGATTTCACATCAATTACTCTTCTCATATACAGTTTTTGCATGTAAATGTATTTTAAATTATGTAATACAGCATAAATATATGATCATTTTAAAAAGAACGAGCCACACTGGGCTCAGCCAGGAAACTAACAATTCAGCCTTAATGTGTGTGTATAGCCCAAACATTTATGAATAGAAGGAAGGAATAAAACTTTTTATTTTTTTTGCTGTCTGTGACCTGCTGGGGAGAATTCCATTCAATTCCTGTCCTGGAGACACATCAGGAGTGAGATAAAATCTCCCTAAGGTGATCTGCCCCACTAGTAGATTTCCCCTCCACTCTTGCTTTTGTCACCTTTGTACAATTTTGGAATTCCCCTCATTTTCTATTTCGGTGACAATGGTCACAAGGACAAAAAATGGGTGAATATCCCCAGCAGTATGTACTCTGAACGATTGAGCCAATTTTATGTCTTCATACTGACTTCCCAAGTCTGCCAGCTTGCTCCGGGTAAGTATTTCGAAGTATCAAAGCCAGCAAGAGCCAGGTAATAAGCCTTTCCAAGATTAGAGGACACATAAAGGCTCTGGTATGACTCTGGTAAGCTCCAAATCCAATTATGATGTGATGCACAAGCCTCCCTTTTTCTTCCAACTGAGCCAAATCCTTCATTTGTGTCTCACACGCTCCCCTTCCCAGACACTGCAGCTGCAGCTCAGAGTAGGAGGGTGTCGGCAACAAAGGCAGTGCTGCCAGAAAGCAGTGGGTAGGACTAAGTGTGGCCTGGTGCTGATTGACAACCTACAGGAGTGTGAATCAGCAGTCACAATGCTAATAGCCATTCCATCTGCAACTTTTTTTCATCCCACTCTAGTGCAAGCAGTTACAGCCTACATGAGAATGGCAACTCTGCTCTGAATTCAGGAGCAGTGCAGCCTTGTTGCCACCCTGTCAAAGGAAGCTGCATTAGTTGGACTTCACTGAGGATCAGGGATGCTGTTAGAAACCAAGAGGGCCCCATATAGCCAACCTGAAAGCCCTCCCCCACCAAATAAATACAGTTTACTATGCTGCAGTTATGAATGAATGAATAATGGTCAGTGATTGGAACTGATCACTCATTGTGTTTTTTCAGGAAAGGAAGAGGCTGAATGATTGTATTGTGTACTTGTAGTGCTGGAGTGGGGTTCACACAGGGGAGCCTGGGCAGCAGGGGGAAACATATGGTGCACAGGAAGGGTGATCGATACAGTGCGGGGGGGCTCAATTTTTGTCTTTTGAACCAATCCCTTGTATGGTCCTCTTTTCAGCAGCTGAAAGCCAGCTGGAGGGAGAGAGGAAGCCAGCTTTCAACTGCTGTAGATAGAGCCGCACAGGAGATTGGTTCTAGTAATTGCCCCCCATCATGCTTATCACCTTCCCACATCCAATTCACCCAGCTACTTGGGCCCCCCTGCTGGCTTGGGCCCCATACAGCAGGACTGGTGGTACCCCCTTTTATCCACAACCCTGGGCAGGATCAACAAGTATTTGTGAGGCTTTGCAGGGGGGCTAAGAAAAAACTGCAGTGCATATGGACTAAGTGCTGCACGACATCTTTTTTTTTTTATTGGGGGGCCACAGATTTACTTCAAGCAGTGGCATCCTCCATATTTCCAATAACAGAAATTTCTTGAAGTTGGGCCTAATGTAAAATGATAAATTAACCTGTAAAGTGGAACTAAACCTTTCTTACCCTTTACAGCCAAGGAAGCCGCCATCTTGGCCTCTGCTTGACCTGCAGCTGCCATGGTGCTGCACGTGTGATCAGTTATAACACCAGACATTTGAGGTCTTTGTTCCACTTTCATTTTATCCAGTTTAAAGCACCTTTCCTACAAACTTTGTGGAACCATAGACCTTGGCCTCATTTATATAATACATAACATGGGAAGATGTTTTCATTGGGCCCCTTTCACACGCGCTGGATCCATTTTTTTCTCAGCAAGGGATCCATCCACAGATCTCCTGCTGAGCTGAGTGGAGCAGTCGGATTTATTTATTTCAGGTACTTATATAGCTCCACCAATTTACACAGCACTTTACATATATATTTTACATTCACATCAGTCCCTAACCTTCAAGGGGTGTACAATCTAAGGTCCCTAACTAACATTCATACATACACATACTAGGGACAATTTAGACAGGATCCAATTAACCTACCAGCATGTCTTTGGAGTATGGGAGGAAACTAGAGTACCCAGAGGAAACCCACACAGGCACAGGGAGAACATGCAAACTCCAGGCAGGTGGCACTGTGGTTGGGATTCGAACCAGCGACCCTAGTACTGCCAGGCGGAAGTGCTAACCATTTACCCTGTGTCCGCTCCGCTTATGCAAACATGGACACAGTTTACTCTTCTTTATGGGCATTTGGATGGAAATGGACCAGCTGCCTGTTTACTCCTGACTGCACTCTGTTCTGATCTGACCAGACGGAGAGGAACAGGTTGGGTCCCCTTCTGCTTTTTTTGACGGATTGGATCCAGAGGTAGCTATTTACATTCAACTGCCCTTAACCACTTGCTCGCATCAGCTTCTAACTTCAGCTTGTTCAATTAAGTTTTGACAAAAAAAAAAAAAAAAACTGGACGCCGATTGGTTTCTTTACATCTATACAACTGCACCAGATTTTGCACGTTCCAGTTTTAGTAAATCCCCCCCATAGTCTTTCACTTGGCAGTGTAGATTTCCCTGATTCTCCATACTGCTTTCTGCGTTGCTTCTCCCACTAGATTCCAGCAGGATCTCGCTCACCTGTCCGCCATGTTTCTTGTCCCAGCCAGCCACAATAAGATGCGCACTTATTTCCTCCTTATACTTGTAGCTGACCCCCTTCACCAGGTTTGCAGCGGCTAGCACTAAGGGTGCGCTGTCCAGTTCCATACTGCAGGGAAAGAAGATAGGCAAGAAGACATATTGGCATAGACAAAGCCGCATTTCATATCTGGTAGGACTATGTGCTCTATGTGTTTATAATCAGCTGCAAAGTAAAGAATGATGGAATTGATCCTATTGGGTGTCAATGACTAGGATTTCCATGATTGGGGCCTGTAACAACCCACAGTCATTGGCTCCCAAAACCTCACCCTTTGCTATGATTGCCTCTATTATGCAGATTATGTATTTGTTTTAGTATTCTTATCCTGAAATAGTGTGACAGAGTATAATTAAAGCTGAACTCTGAGTATGATCCCCAATACATACTTCATTGGTCTAGCATGGACCAATGTACAGTATGTATGCATATCTCATACCTTCAGGACCACTAAAGAGGCTAACCATCACTGTAGGGGTCGGCACTATACACTGATCACCACGATCTTCCAGGTCTAGTGCCAAGTGGCTTCCCTGCTTCATACACAGCCACAGTGGGTTGCTTGCTCAGCACTGCTGCCATTCACAGAAAGCCTTGGATTTTTTTAACCAGTTCCCACCCGGCCTATTATACAATGAAATCAGCAAAAAGTGGTGCAGGAATCTTTTTTTTATAAAAAAAAGTTGCGGCGACGTGAACAGTTCCATTGCCAGCAAAGTGGTGCGACTTGCCATGTGATTTGGAACTGGCAAATCGCATGACAAGTCTACTTTGGAAAAGTCACAGACTGCGTCTTCCCCCCACCTTATTGATCCAACATTAGCAAACATCACTTTTACTGTAGACTCTGCTGCTGTCAGCATTCTATGCCTCCAGTCGCCAATATAATTCCACCTGGCAGATCAGTAAATAATTCTGCCTCGTACAGTGCTGTCACTATGGGGGTGCGGGGTGCGGACCACACCCGTGTGACACCCACCAGACACCAGTCCTGCCATTTACAAGCTGTCAATGTCATTCTCCCAGAGAGCCATCTATGGGAGGCAGGACAGCTGTAGATAGTGGGTGGGACCTCAAGAGTTAACAGCAGGTGATTGGTTGTTAGGATGCAGGGCGGTCCTAGCAACCAGTCACCAGCTTGCAGCTGGGCAATGTGGGGGGGGGGGGGGGCTGCTGAGGACAATAATGGGGTGCTGTGGGGGGGAGCTGAGGACAGTAATAGGGCACTGTAGGGGAAAACTGAAGACAGTAATGGGGTGCTGTGGGGGAAAGCTTAAGCACAATAATGGGGCACTGTGAAGGGAAACTGAGGACAGTAATGGGGTGTTTTTTGGGGTCTGAGGACAGTAATAGGGTGCTTTGGGGGGGGGAGAATAGTAATGGGGTGCTGTGGGGGGGAGCTGAAGACAGTAATGGGGTGCTGTGGGGAGTGGCAGTAATGGGGGAGACTCAGGACATTAATGGGGGGTCTGGAGACAGTAGTTGGGTGCCTGAGGACAGTAATGGGGGACTGAGGCTAGTAATGGGGGAGCTGAGAACAATAATGGGGTGCTGTGGGGAGAGGACAGTAATGGGGCGCTGTGGGAAGGTGAAATTAGGACAGTAATGGGGTCGCTGAGGACAGTAACGGGGTCGCTGAGGACATTATTGAGGGTCCGAGGACAGTAATGGGGGCCTAAGGACAGTAACTGGGTCACTGAAGACGTTTATAGGGGGAGAGCCACACCGGTAGACTAGTCTGTTCAGTGCCCTATTGCTTCTCCTGCTGGGGGTGGGGGGGTGACATCATGTTTTACTGCACCAGGTGACACCAACTTTAGTAATGCCATTGGCCACATGAAGCAAATGTATTGCAAGATTTAAGAGCCAGCAAAACCAGATTCTTTCCTGTTCCCACATTCTATCTCTCTGACTGTATCAAAATGATTTGCTAAATACCACAGCTATGTGTATATCTCATTAATTAGCTGGACAGTATTGGGCCCTGTGAGCTGCTGGGCCCCATAGAAGATATATGGTCTTACCTATGCACTTCCAAGTAGTAAGTCACCATATCAGCTACAGCTTGACAGTCAGCTGCAGAACCAGAGAGGGCACAGTAGATTTTATCAGAGAGAGGAGCCAGCTTATTAAAGATTCGATTTACTACAGCATCCCTGGAGAGAGATGGGAAAGAGATTACTAGACATTATTAAAGATCGCACTAGAATGGAGTGTACCAAAATATTAACCAGCCCTCAACCATAGAAACACTCACCCAGCAGATACTCTTGAGTCGGATCCAATGACGATTCCTCCATTGAATTCAATAGCAATGATGGTGGTCTAAAAAAAGACAAAAGGTAAAAATTAACGAAGCTGACTACATTACTCAGCTGGTGGAGTATGCACAGGGTCACAAAGGAACTCTGGTGAAGACAGTTTTCCCAAGGGCCCTTACAAGCAATACCCAATTTCAAGGAAACCTGGGCTAGTAGAAACACAGCGGCTGTCAATGGTGGCCTCTTGTGTGTCTGCTAGTGGCCTGACTATGGTGATATTCCTCTGCCAATGCTCTCCAAGTCACTGATCTTAAACAAGTCTGCAAGCAGTGACATCAGAGAAAGTCTGATCTGTTTGGGGTCACTGATTTAAGCCATTTAAGCTACTGTATCAGTATGACAGTAAGGCAACCAGCATGTTCAGACAGATGGCAGCAATGGCAGCCTGCCCACTTGTCTCAAGCAAGACCTACTTTATAGTTTTAGCCCACGTAACTGACCCAGAACCTTTCAAAGTTCATACAGCCTATTGACATCTTAACCCATTGGCGCCGGCGCCTCCCGGCCCTTTAAGGGTTTCAGAAGCCGGGAGGTGGGGCGGGGTTTTAGAGTCATGTGACCGCCATGATTTGCTGTCATGGCGGTCACATGATTGGGAAAGGTCCCGATCGAAAGAGGAGATCGGGACCTTTCCGTGAGTACCAGACATGCGTGCTGGGAACGTACAGGGCGCACGCTCTCAGCACATATGTTTTTCTTAATTGCACACAAATGTGCGGCTGCTCGGCATCAAGGCCCAGACACCGGGAGGCCACACATTTGCGTGCAGCCGGCGCCAAGAGGTTAATGTTTGTCATTCTAAAGCCCAACTTGATCATCATAAGTAGGGATGAGTTCAGTATTCAGACATTCATTGAAATGCCAAATGTGTGGGGTGTTCGGCAAGGACAAACGTAACAGCTTCTGACTGTCAATGGTTGCTAGGGAAGCAGCAGGTGCTTCTGCCCACCATTGTCTTTACCAACCTGATGTCACCCCGCCCATTCACTTACCAACCACTGACAACACCCAGCCCATGTAAAAAATGGGGAAGGGAATGGAGCGGTTTACATAATTGTCTAAATATGACCACATGGGCATATTTGGCCAATGATATCATGACTGTTCCTTCCTCTTGCTTTATATAGCTGATGACAGCTCAGGGAGCTGTCATTCGGATATTTGGAACTCCAGGATCAATCATGTGCAGCAGGTCATTGGGTTGTTTATTCAGACAGTCAATGGGCAGCAGGACATCATTATTGACAATGGATTTACAATAAGAGACTTTTTTGGGGATTTTTTTTTTTTTAAGTGTGAATGAGTAGAAGTAGTACCCCTACTTATTCACATGAGGGGGTGGTATCTGGCAGCCCCATATTATTAAAGGGGACTTCCAGGTTTCAATAAGCCCTGCCCAGCTGAACCAGTACAAACACCAGGCCAGGGTTGTAGAGAAGAGGCCCTTGTCCTCGTCAACATGTTGAGGGCATGTGACCTGGTATGGTTGAGGAGAGTGGGGGCCGGTATGGATTTTTTGGGGGATCTCACTTTTTTGTTTTTTTGCATGCATTCCCCCTTAAAATCTGTACCAGATCCAGAGGGTCTGATTTGGATATCCTGGGGAACCTCCTTTTTTTTTTTTGTTTAGCATTGTGGAGCCCTCTTAAAATCCTGGGGAGAGATTTATTAAAACTGGTGCACACTGAATTTGGTGCAGCTGTGCATGGTAACCAATCGGCTTCTAACTTCAGCTTGTTCAATTATGCTTTGACAATAAATCCTGGAAGCTGATTGGTTTCTATACACAACTGCACCAGATTCTGTGTGCACCAGGTTTAGTACATCTCCCACAGTGGGTCTGGTATGCATTTTAGGGAAGACTCTACACACATTTGTTTTTTAATTCTTGCTGTAGGATATGCAACATCAAAAGTGAAATTTATAAAGAAAAAAAGACAGAGTTTAAATTGTGGGCAAATAAAACGTCATTGCTGGTTTCTTAAAAAAAAAAAAACGAACACAGACCCCTCTACAGCCAAAGGGAGATGTTGTTTGCTGGCAATTTAATACTTTTTCCTTTTGTAAAAGTAAGAGCTTTTAAAAAAAAACTCACTGCTCCTGGGCACATGGATTTTTTAAAATTTCTTCCATTGGTACATGTTCCCCAAGGCAGTGCCTACCCCCATGTTATTTTTAGACATCCCCTTGCCTATTTGCCTAGAAATGGCGCATTTTTCATTTGACAGATTCAGCTCCCATTGATTTTTATTGAGGTTTGAATTCAGAATCTGAATTTTTGAAGCTCAGTCCAGGGCAGTTTGGCTATGGAAACTTTGTGGGGCACCTATACAGTGCCTGGGAACCAGAATAAACTGCAAGCTTTGAGAAACAAAGCAGGATTTACCCTGCAACAAATATAAGAAATTTGGCAGCTAAGATGCAACTGTAGAAATAGGGGGTAGCACAATAACAGTGCTGGAGCACCAGAATAGGCTGCAAACTTCGAGGGCCTTTGCAGGAGAGCCAGAAAAGGCCAAGAGGTGACAGGAGCTGGTAATGGGGGCAGGAATCATTTTTTTTGGGGGGGGGATCCAGATGACAATTAATAGTTCAGTCTGTAACATCAGCAGCAGGGGTTTTGTAGTCATTGGTAATCCAAGACTGGTTAAAGTGGTTGTAAAGGCTGAAGGTTTTTTACCTTCAATCTATGCATGAAGCTAAAAAATTTCTGTGTGTAGCAGTGCCCCCAGCCCCCTCATTACTTAGCTGAGCCTTATCGCGATCCAGCAATGTGAACGACCATCTCGGCTGGCCAGGGTCCCTGTCTCCTCATTGGCCGAGACAGCCATTGGCTCCCTGCTGTCAATACAGACAGTCAGCCAATGAGGAGAGAGGGGGACGGGGCCAAGTCATGGCTCTGTGCGTGAATGTACACACAAAGCAGCAGGTGCCCCCATAGCAAGCTGCTTGCTGTGGGGGGCACCCAACAGGAGGGAGGGGCCAGGAGAGCCTGCGGAGGATCTCAGAAAAGGAGGATCTGGGCTGCTCTGTGCAAAACCACTACATACAGCAGGTAAGTATAGACATGTTTGTTACTTTTGTTAAAAAATGTAAACCTTTAGAATCCTTTAAAAAAGAAAAAAACACTATTAAAGTAAAAAGAGTCTGTGAAGAAAAAAAAGATGGCAGGAGAACCCCATGACAGGATCTGCTCTGTGCAAAACCACTGCATACAGCATGTAAGTATAGACATGTTTATTTAACCCTTTGATGCTGGTGCCTCCAGGCCCTTTAAGGGGTTTCTGACGCCGGAAGGCAGGGCAGGGTTTAGGGTCATGTGACTGCCATGATTGGCTGCAAGTGTACAATCCAAACGCACACGTCCCTGCGTTTAAAAATGGCTGTGTGTATGTCGATGCTGCAGCGACCGTCAGCTGGAACTGAACAGAATCAGCAAGGGAAAATGTCACCAGCACACCAAGGATCACCTATAGGGACCACATGTCACATGCCTGATGAAGGGGTCCTGCGAGACTCCAAAACGTTGCCTTGCTGGAACTATGTGATCATTCATTAATACTTTTGAACCCATATTGGTGATCCTCGGTGTGCTGGTGACATTCTCCCTTGCCGTGATTGGCTGTCAAGGTAGTCGCATGATTGGAAAGACCCCAATCACAAGGAGATTGTGACCTTTCTGTGGAAGGGCGCGCTCTCAGCACATGTTTGCAAATATGCGGTCGCTTCGGCGTCGAGGCCCAGCCACCAAGATCCTACTGTCGGCTTGAAGAGGTGAAAAAAAAAACCCCAAAACAATTAACCTTTAGAATTGGTTTAAATTTAACCCTTTTACTGCCATCAACATATGTTGGTGGCAGCAGGGAGGGGTTTACCTTTAGTAGCTCCTAAATCTTTATTGCCTCCATCTAGAAGGGCCTTCAGACTGAAGTTTGGGTTCATAAGTTTGGTAGTAAAGAACCCACTTAGCAGGAGGCTCATAATCCCGTTTACCCAGGTGCTGCTACAGAGTCAGGTGTAATGGCTGCTATGAGAGGGTCATCTCACATACCCCCACTCCCCTCAAGACTCCCTTACGGGGGCATCCGATATGTTCCCATTGGTGGAAATCTGCAGCAGGCACTGGAAGTCCAAGCCTTGGCCCAACAGCTCAGGCTATTCTCAAAACCTAAAATACGCTCTTACCTGAGGACTACCCACGCTGCATCAGCGGTATGAATAAGTGTACAATGACGGCTTTTTTTATGGTTGAACTTGATAGACTTTTGTCTTTTTTCAGCCAGACTAACTATGTAACTTTTTTTTTGGGTCTTCTTTGGACATACTTCTTTTTTAATTCCTTTTGGGGTGACTGCCTTTGCTCCTACCAGGGCTCTGGCAATCAGCTAAGCTGGAAATAATTCTTTATATGTTTGGCAACCTTTTACATGCAGAACTTTGAGTGGATCGGAAAAGTTGGGTTGTTAACAGGGATGGACTGACCATTTAGAAATCGGGCACTGCCCGAGGGCCTGGGGTCAGTAGGGGGCCCCATGAGATGCCCCTGGTACCTTTTTCATAGGCTTTTTTGAGTTTGGGCAAAGACACAGGGGTCCTATGATCCCCTATTGCCCGGGGGCCCCATGAGTTTTCAGTCCGCCCCTGGTTGTTAACTGAAAGCATCCGGGCAATTATTTTTCTATACTACATACAGGCCAGGCATTTCCTCATCTTGTCTTTCCGCGCTGCACGTCCTCTCCCTCTTCCTCCCTCCCAGCACACCATACCCCTCTCATTTTTAGCTCGGTGTCCTCTACACCCCACTCTTTTAGTAGCCCACCACAGAATCAGCTGATTTGTATTACTTACCCCAGTGGACACCTCAAGAGACGAGGAAAAGGGGTTCCCAGGTCCCGGCATTTTGCTACGTCTCTGTTTCCTGAAGTAAAACTGAAAGTAGAATTTGCAGCTGCAGCTTCATGACGCTGAGTAGCTTTGTTAGCAGCAGTCAGCTTCATACAGAGCTCTCCTAACAGGGCAGGTTCAGACAATCACAATTCCTCGCTCCATCACAATATGTAGTATTGATTACAGGACAAAACAGTAATAGGATTACAAGCACTTGTGGGTTTTTTTTTTTAAAAAGTTACAATATGTTTCCTGCTCCCTATCTACATCATTATATTTCCTATGAATTCAAATCAACAGACATATACTGTAGCTTCAAATATAAAATTTAAAGCAGCATTAAACCCGACACTAAAAAAGTTAAATATTGCAGCTTACCAATCATTAGATGTGATGACTGCATTAGTTTTCTTTTTTTTTTAATCTTTTTCCTCTCTGTTTTCACTTGTTGATTTAGCCAGTAATTTACCTCCTGTATTATAGTGCCCCCACTCTGGATGAAGGAGCACAAGGGGAACCTTTGCACAGAAGCATTGCTAGTACATGAGGGAAAGGGGTGTTAGAGGGACTTGCAGATTTAGATACACTAACAAACTGAAGCCAAACGTCATCTCACACTGAAGTTACTCAAACAGTTTTTTCCCCTTTTGGGCTAAAGGTTTTACATATATAAAGTCTGATCATTGTAAGCACTGCTGTCAGTGGTAAAAGGTTTGCCTCAACCCTTTAACTAGTTGCTGACTGCAGATAGCCGAATGACGGCTGCACTGTGGCCGGCGGAGATCGTCATATGACATCTTCCCAGAATGCACTCTCCTGTGCGCCCCCGGCGATCTACATGATCGCTGTGTCCTAAGGACACAGCTAATCACGTGATGTGGTTAAAGGCCAATCACAGCGGCCTTTTACCACGTGATCGACCGTGTCCAATGACACGCTGATCACCGGGAAATGCAATTGCCGGTTCTCGGCTGCACTTTCCTCAGACTGTCAGAGCGTGAGGAAAATACTGCTAAGAACCAGCAGTTGTCAGAGCACTGATGATCGGTGCCCAGCAGTTGCGCCAGTCAGTGCCGCCCAGCAGTTGCACCAGTCAGTGCCCAGCAGTGCCACCAGTCAATGCCCCCTATCAGTGCAGCCTCATCAACACACATCAGTGAAAGAGAAAAATAACCTCTTTGCTAAATTTTATAATAGAAACAAAGAAACTTTTTTTTTTCAAATTTTTTGCTCTTTTTTTTTTGTTGATAGTAAAAGTAAAACACCCAGCAGCAAGCAAATACCACCAAAATAAATCTCTATTTGTGAGAAAAAAATTACAAAAATTTCATATGGTTACAGTGTTGCATGACCACGTAATTGTCATTCAAATCGCAACAGCGCTGAAAGTTGAAAATTGGCCTGGGCAGGAAGGGGTATAAGTGCCCGGTAGGCAAGTGGTTAATGGCTGAATCTGCATGACAACTTGTTCTGTTGAAAAATAACAAATTTACTGGCTGGATCACTAGATGAAAATAAAAGAAAGCCTTAAAAGAAAACTAATGCAGCCACCACATTAAAGCAATTGTAAAAAGTGTTATATATTAACAAATATGTTTATACTCATCTGCTCTGTGCAATGGAAATGCACAGAGCAGCCACCAGCCTCCTAATCTCGGGTCCCCGACTGGCTCTCCTGACCCCTCCTCTCTGTCCAGTGCCCCCATGGGAAGCTGCTTCCCATAGAGGCACACGTGGGTGCTCATTCCCGAGCCACACTGCTGTATCCATTGACACAGACAGAAGGACTCGACCCTGCCCCTCGCTCTCTCATCACTGGCTTTGATTAACAGAACTGGGAGCCAATGGCTCCTAGTGCCCCAGCAAGTCATGGAAGTGAGGGGAGATCAGAGCTGCAGATGTACACGGTGCTGGATCAAATGGGGTCTCAGGTAAGTAAAAGGGGAGTGAGGGGTGATGCAGATGCCTAAACATTTTTTTACCTTAATGCAAGGAATGCAGTAAAGAAAAAAAGGTTTAGGCTTTAGAACCACTTGGTTGGTAAGCTGCAATTTAATAAATTACCTACAACACATCACTTACTGTACATATACATTCACCTGTGTTTCTAAAGCATTTTCCATATGTTTATAATGCATCTAGATCACATTTCAGTAGAGGTCTATTAGATTTATTTTTATTTATTATTTATTACAGGTACTTTTATAGCGCCGTCAATTTACGCAGTGCTTTTACATATATATTGTACATTCACATCAGTCCCTAACCCTCAAGGGGTGTACAATCTAAGGTCCCTAACTCACATTCATACATACACATACTAGGGACAATTTAGACAGGAGCCAATTAACCTACCAGAAAATCTTTGGGGTGTGGGAGTACCCAGAGGAAACTCACGCAGGCACAGGGAAAACATGCAAACTCCAGGCAGGTGGTACCGTGGTTGAGATTCAAACCAAGGACCCTAGTACTGCCAGGTGGAAGTGCTAACCATTTAGCCACTGTGCTGCCCTTATTAAATGCAATGACATGACCAAAAAATATTATTCTCTCAGTCACCATTAATGGTTTTTAATCTTTACGCTGCTTGCTTTAGTAAATAGATAGGAAGGTATATTATATTTACTTGTTTTAACCTTTTTACTTTTTTTTTTTCTTTCTTTCCTTGCTGCCTGGTTTTTGACCTAGGCCAAAATGATGTCATACATCCTAGGAGACTTCATGGGCTTTTTTTTTTTGTCTTTCATCTGGAGGAAAAGCTTTCTCAGCTAAGCACAACTTTCTGTCTGCATGCCTGAGCAATGGTCAACCAGCTGAAGGCTGTCATTGGACAGATCATCCACCTGGATCAGGCTTGTAGCATTCCTGGTCACAGGATTGCAAACAGCCTTGCGCCTGTCTAGGACACAGTTCAGTTCACCAAACACCTCTGTGAGCACATGGCCCCAGTCAGTCTAGACAAGGAGAAGGCCTTTGACTGTGTCTCTCATGGGTTCACTATGTGCAGAGCCCTGCGCAGGTTTGGTCTTGGGGAAATGTTTTGTTCATATGTTGACCCTATGTACCATGATAATTGCAGCACGGTGTCACTGCCCTCTCTCACCTCTGCCTTTTTGTTTATTGTAAATACAGTGAGGAACAGAAGTATTTGAACACCCTGCGATTTTGCAAGTTCTCCCACTTAGAAATCATGGAGGGTCTGAAATTCACATTGTAGGTGCATTCCCACTCTGAGAGGCAGAATTTAAAAGAAATTCAGGAAATCACATTGTATGATTTTTAAAGAATTTATTTGTCTTGCACTGCTGAGCATAAGTATTTGAACACCTAAGATAGAGCAAGAATTCTGGCTCTCAAAGACCTGTTACTGTGCCTTTAAAAAGTCCACCTCTACTGCACTCATTAATCTAACTTAGTAGCACCTGTCTGAGCTCTTTAAAGACACCTGTCCACCCTACAGTCAGTCAGACGGCGACTACTACCATGGGCAAGACCAAAGAGCTATCAAAAGACACCAGAGACAAAATTGTGGACCTCCAGAAGGCTGTAAAGGGCTACGGGGCAATTGCCAAGCAGCTTGGTGAAAATAGATCAACTGTTGGAGCAATTGTTAGAAAACGGAAGAGGCTAAAGACGACTGTCAGTCTTCCTCGGACTGGGGCTCCATGCAAGATCTCACCTCGTGGGGTATCACTGATAATAAGAAAGGTGAGGAATCAGCCCAGAACTACAAGGGAGGAGCTGGTCAATGACATGAAGAGAGCTGGGACTACAGTTTCAAAGGTCACTGTCGGTAGAACACTACGCCGTCATGGTTTCAAATCATGCATTGCACGGAAGGTTCCCCTGCTCAAGTCATCACATGTCCAGGGCCATCTGAAGTTTGCCAATGACCATCTGGGTGATCCAGAGGAGGCATGGGAGAAAGTCAAGTGGTCAAATGAGACCAAAGTAGAACTTTTTGGTCTAAACTTCACTCGTCGTGTTTGGAGGAAAAAGAAGGATGAGTTGCATCCCAAGAACACCATCCCTACTGTGAAGCATGGGGGTGGTAACATCATGCTTTGGGGGTGCTTTTCTGCGAAGGGGACAGGACGACTGCACTGTATTAAGCAGAGGATGAATGGGGCCATTTATTGTGAGATTTTGAGCAACAACTTCCTTCCCTCAGTCAGAGCATTGAAGATGGGTCATGGCTGGGTCTTCCAACATGACAACGACCCAAAGCACACAGCCAGGATAACCAAGGAGTGGCTCCGTAAGAAGCATATCAAGGTTCTGGAGTGGCCTAGCGAGTCTCCAGACTTAAATCCAATAGGGGAGCGGAAACTCCGTGTTGCTCAGCGACAGCCCCGAAACCTGACAGATCTAGAAGAGATCTGTGTGGAGGAGTGGGCCAAAATCCCTGTTGCAGTGTGTGCAAACCTGGTCAAGAACTACAGGAAACGTTTGACCCCTGTAATTGCAAACAAAGGCTTCTGTACCAAATATTAACACTGATTTTCTCAGGTGTTCAAATACTTATGTTGAGCAGTGCAAGACAAAATACATTTTTAAAAAATCATACAATGTGATTTCCTGAATTTTTTTTTTTTTTAAATTCTGTCTCTCAGAGTGGGAATGCACCTACAATGTTAATTTCAGACCCCTCCATGATTTCTAAGTGGGAGAACTTGCAAAATCACAGGGTGTTCAAATACTTCTTTTCCTCACTGTATCTCTTTGCCGAATGCATCAGACGGAATCTAGAGATTAGAAGGATCACTACACCAGGCTCACACAGAAGGGAAGTCACGTGCTCGCTCTACATGGACAACAATACGATGTTCTGTGTTGATCAGTGCTGCACTGACTTGCTTGTCCAGCAAGTCCAACCTGCAAAGACTTCGGCCAAGCCTCAGGTTAAAGGTCAACTGTAGGAAGTAAGAAGTCATGCTCCATCAAAGGAAAGACACTGGTACTTTGCAGTGGGATTCTCCCTGTGTTCCAGTACCTCACCCAAGCCTGACCCC